GAGATGAAGAATATTTTTCATCATAAGTCCTAGGAATTGTCTTGGATGATTGTCTTGATCATAATAGCTAAGTCATTCAGAGTTGATCTTTGTATAATATTGCTGTTACTACATACAATGTTCTTCTGATTCTGTTCACTTCATGTTACATGAGTTCATATAAGACTTTCCAGGTTCTTCTGAAAATATCCTGCTCATGATTTCCTATACCACAATAGTATTCCATCACAATCATATACCATCACTTGTTCAACCATTCCCTAATTGATGGACATTACCTCAATTTCTAATTCTTTGTCACCACAAAAAGAGCTACTATAAATATTTTGTCCATATAGGTCCTTTTCCATTTTTTAAAATCTCTTTAGGATATAGACCTAGTAGTGATAATTCTGGGTCAAAAGGCATGCATTGTTTTATAGCCTTTGGGCATTGTTCCAAATTGTTCTCCAGAATGGTTGAATCAGTTTACAACCCCATTAATGGTGCATAGTATGTCAATTTTCCCACATCTCCTACAACATTTGTCATTTTCCTTTTCTATCATATTAGCCAATCTGATATATTTGGGGTGGTAACTCTGAATTGTTTAAATCTGCATTTCTCTGATCAATAGTTTTTTCATATGTCTATAGATAGCATTGATTACTTCATCTGAAAACTACCTGTTCATATGTGTTGACCATTTATCAATTGGTGAATGGCCCTCATTTTTATAAATTTGACTGAGTTCTCTATATATTTGAGAATTACAGCCTTTGTCAGAGAAAATTGCTCTAATTTTTTCAGCATACAGTTATGATTACTAATCATGTTTTTATCTCCATTCTGTTTCCCCTGTTTATTCTACACTCTCTCTTTTTTCACTCTATCCTTCTCAAAAGAGTTTTGCTTTTGACTATAGCCTTCCCCAATCCACCCTCCCTTCTATCATCCTCCCTTCTTCTATTCTTTTCCCCTCCTACTTTCATTTAGGGTAAGACAGATTCCCTACCCAACTGTGCGTGTATGTTATTCCCTCTTTGAGTCAATTCCAATGAAAGGAAGGTTCAAGCACTTCCCCTATGTCTCCCATCTTCCCCTCTACTATAAAAGCTCTTTCACATCTCTTTTATGTGAGATGATTTACCACATTCTCCCTCTTCCTTTCCCTTTGTTCCCAGTGCATTCCTCTTTCTCACTCTTTAATTTTATTTTTTTAGATGTCATCCCATCATATTCAACTCACACTGTCTACCTACACTCCTTCTATCTGCCCTAATAATGAGGAAGTTCCCATGTAGGAATGTTAATGGTTTAACCTTATTAAATCTCTTGTGATTTCTCTTTCCTATTTACCTTTTTATTCTTTTCTTGAGTCTTGTATTTGAAAGTAACATTTTCTCTTTGGTTCTACTCTTTTCATCAGGAATGCTTGAGAGCCCTCTATTTCACTGAATATCCATCTTTTCCCCTGAAATAGTATACTCAGTTTTGCTCAGCGGGTGATTCTTGGTTGTAATCCTAGCTTCTTTACTCTCTGGAATATCATATTCCAAATCCTGCAATCCTTTAATGTTGAAGCTGCTAAATATTGTGTTATTCTGATTGTAGCTCCATGATATTTGAATTATTTCTTTCTGGCTGCTTGCAATATTTTCTCCTTGACCTGAGAATTCTGGACTTTGGCTATAATATTCCTGGGAGTTTTCATTTTTAGTTCTCTCTCAGGAGGTAATTAGTGGATTCTTTCAATGTCTATATATTATCCTCTGTTTTAGAATATCAGGGCAGTTTTCCATTATAATTTCTTGAAAGATGATATCTGGGTGATTTTTTTTGATCTTAGCTTTCAGGTAGCCCAATAAAACTGATCTTATCTAGATCTATTTTCTAGGACAATTGTTTTTCCAATAAAATATCTCATATTTTCTTCTATTTCTCCTTTCTTTTGAGTTTGTTTCATTGTTTTTTGATGTCTTATGGAATCATTAACTTCCACTTGCCCAATTTTTAAGGAATTATTTTCTTCAGTGAGCATTTGTACCTTCTTCTCCATTTGCCCCATTCCAGTTTTAAAAGATTTCTTTTCTTCAGTCAATATTTGTACATCTTTTTCCATTTGGTCAATTCTGCTTTTTTATGGGGTGGGGAAGGCAATTGAGGTTAAGTGACTTCTCTAGAGTCAAACAGCTAGTAATGTCTTAGGCCAGATTTGAACTCAGGTACTCCTGACTTCAGAGCTGGTGCTTTATCCACTATACCACCTAGCTCCCCTGCCAATTCTGTTTTTTAAGTTCTCAAACCAAGCTGTTGACTCTTTTTTTTCCTTTCTTTCTTTCTTTTTCTTTCTTCTTTCCTTTTTTTTGGTGAGGCAATCAGGGTTAAGTGACTTGTCCAGGATCACACAGCTAGTAAATGTCAAGTGTCTGAGGCCGGATTTGGACTCAGGTCCTCCTGACTCCAAGGCTGGAGCTCTATCCACTGCACCACCTAGCTGCACCTGTTGACTCTTTTTAATTTTTTTCTTTCATCATTCTCATTTCCCTCCCATTTTTCTTCTACTATTTTTATTTGATTTTAAAAATCCTTTTCAGCTTTTTCAGCAATTCTTTTTGGTCCTAAGTTCAATTCAGATTTTTCTTTGAGGCTTTGGATATAGCAGTTTTGAGTTTGTTATCTTCGTCTGAGTTTGTGTTTTGATCTTTCTTATCACTATAGTAATTTTCTATGGTTATATATATATTTTGTGTTGTTTGCTCATTCTTCCAGTTTATTTCTTGACTTTTAGCTTTATGTTAAAGTTGGACCCTGCTCCTGAGGTAGAAAGGCACTGTCCCAAGCTTCAGGTTTTGTGTACTGCTGTTTTCAGAACTAATTGTGGGGGTCTGTAAGTTTTCAGTTCTCCAAGGTGGTATGATCTAAGGAGAGATGAGGTCACTGCTCTCCTGGTCTGTGCTCTGGTCTGTGAGCAACCTCAATCAATATTTTCCACCCTGGAACTGTGACCAGGGTCCCCACTGCACTCCAGTTGTAAGATCTCGTATGCTGGTACCCCTTCTCACTCTAGGACTGTGATGCAGGACTGTGACCTAGCTATTCAGATGGTTAATGTAAGAGAGTCCTGCAACTAGTGTCAGCAAAAGGACCCCTATAATCTATTTTTGACTAGTTACCTGACCCCCTTATTATCTGTAGGCTGAGAACTCCAGAAACCTCTACTGCCAATTCAGTTGCCCCCAAGGCCTGGTGCTGGCTTGCTGAGGTGCAGCCTGCTATTGTCTTGCTGGGGCATTGCCTATAATGGATTGCACTCCAGTTTCACCTAGGTGTGACAGACCTTTCCTTCCAACTTCTAGGTTGTCTTGGGCTGGAAAATTGCTTCACATTATCCTTTTGTGTGTTCTGCTGCTTCAGAATTTGTTTTGGGGTGTTATTTTAAAGTTGCTTGGAGAGGAATTTTGGAGAGCTTAGGCAAGTCCCTGCCTTTTCTCTGCCTTCCTCTTATTTGCTTCTAAAAGTATTTTTTTACTCCTCTTAAAAATATTTCTTCAGCTCCTATAGCAATTCTTGTTAGGTTTGTGTCCAATCGGAATTCTCTTTCAGAATTTGATTGCAGATGTTTTCATATTAATGTCTTCAGAGTTTCTGTTTTGAACTTCCTTTTCACCATAATAGTTATGATTAGTTTTTCTTTGTTTCTTTCTTTTCTTCCCTCTTTCCTTTTCTTCCTTCTTTCCTTCTTTCCTTCCTTCCTTCCTTCCTTCCTTCCTTCCTTCCTTCCTTCCTTCCTTCCTTCCTTCCTTCCTTCTTTCCTTCCTTCCTTCACCATAATGAAAATTAGAATTAAATCTTTATTGTTGCAACATAGTGTTGTAGGTAGGAAGTTTGGAGCAGTGGGTTTGAAGTCAGAAAACCAAGAGCCAGGTCATGGCTCTGCATTTATCAGCCATGTCACTTTGGGCAAGCCAATTGCCCCAGTTCTTCCCCTATATAATAGAAGTACTATTTTTACTAGTCTCGTCAGAGATTTATTATGAGGAAGGCTGTGTAAACTATAAATCACCACATAACTATGAGCTATTATTAGATCATGATTATTGGAATGAGATTTAATTGGCCCCTCCTGGTGAGAAGATTCTCCCTATCAAGGTAGCTTGATGCCTGCTTTATAATTTATATTCTTAGAGTGGTGCCTTAGGGTGCTGAGAGACTAAATGATTTGTCTAGAGTAACTCCCATTAGACTTGAGATCAGGAAATGTTTTTTCCCCCTTTCTTCATGTCCTTAGTGCTTAGCACAGTATCTGGCATGTAGGAGGTGCTTTATAGCAATCAATGTTGGTTGAATGACTGACTAACTAACACAAGCCTTATGGGTCAGAATTGGACTTGACCATTGATACTTCTGATTTCCAAACCTGCCCTCTAGCCACTATACCACATTGACTCCTTTAAACACTATGTGGCTACAAGGAGGGCTCAATGGCATTCTTCTTCTAAATAGGTCTTCTTCCTGATCTGGAAATATATCTGATCCTTTGTGCGATATGGATTTAGAATTGCCCTTGGAAATGTCAATTTGTTATTAGAGTTTATCTTCCAAACAAGTTTCAGAAGGACTGCTACAGAACCAGAAATAGGTATATTTGACATATCAAAAACTGTTTTCAGATAGTACCTGGAGGACAATGAGATGTACAAATTCCTAAGGAGGAGAGATGGAAGAAGCTGGACTATTGATTAGCCAGCTCAATAATTTGAGGAAGATAGAAAGAAGTAGGCATTGACTATCCCTTACCATTTCCAAGTTAGGGCAGCTTTTCCAACCTTTACTTTCTATGTTGGTTATGTGAGCTGGCATTATCAGAGCTCCTCAGGGCACTCAACTTACTGCCCAAGACTTGCTGATTTCCATTTCCCACTCAATGCCTTCCTTATTACTCAAATGAATTATTCGTTGAACGAAAAACAGGTTACCTCCTGACTAGAGAATCATTCAATGATTTTTGCGTTCTGTAGCTTCTTCCATAACCTTTATGGATTCATGTGATTTTGAACTGGAAAATATCTGCGGCATGATTCAAGGCTCAGAAGATAATGGTGACTGGCAAAGGGTTTCTCAGGTGCCTGGTGGGCCTGACACTGATCAATCAAATCTGGATAAGTGCAAACGTAACAACCAAAGTTGGCTCTTACATAGTTTGCTTTCTTCAGCAGACCTCTTAGCATTTATCTTTAGCTTAGTTATGCCCTAGGATTATAGATTTAGAGCTGCTAGGGACTTTAGAGGGCATCTAGTCTAACCTCTTCATTTTACAGATGAGGAAATCAATATTCACAGAGTTTAAGTGGCATGTCCAGGGTCACACAGGTAGCCAGTGCCAGAGGCTTGATGGGAACCCAGATCTTCTCGATTTCCAGTCTAGGAAGTTTATCTCCTACACCAGGCTGGTGCCCTAATGGAAGAAGCTAAATGATGTCTAAAGACAGAATAGAGTCTTATTTCTAAGCTCTATGAGTCTTATCAGACTTATTATCAAGTTTTAAATTCATATTAAGAGCAATTTTGGAATTTGACTTGTTACTGCAGCAAATTAAAATGATTAAAGTCTTCTCCCTTACCTTCCTGCAAGTGCAATTGAGATTGGCTAGTAGTGAGGTAGAAAGAACAGTGATTCTGGCTTAGTAGAGCTCTGGGTTTGAATCCCACTTGGGATTTTATTTCCAATATGTCTCTTAACCTCCTCAATTCTCAGTTTCCCATGGAGGGTGGATTTTTAGCTCTAGATTTTTGGTGTGCAGTTCAGATGCTAAGCTTCCAACTTGAGGAGAGATGGCTTAAATGTGTGTGTGTGTGTGTGTGTGTATGTATGTGTGTGTGTGTGTGTGTGTGTGTGTGTGTGTATGTGTGTGTGTGCATGCAGGCAGGAATTTAGAAAGGTGTAGGTGGCTGTGGATTCTTTCTGTTCCCCAGGAATTCCACTCATAATAGGTGAGTGGGAAAGAAGGGACAAGGTAGGAGAAAGGGAAGGAGACAAGGTCTCAAGCCCTCTTTATATTCAGGACGAATCAGATCTTGTAGTTAGTTGTCTGCCTGCCTACTTAGGTTGGCAATCTGCATCAAGCAATGTCCCAGTTTGAAGGGAGTATCTGAGAATGGATGGGTGGCAGAGAGAATTTTTATACTGCTCTTTACAGTTCCACAGGGCACCTCACTAGACTCTTTAGAGCCAGAAGAAGAGACTCTCTCTCTCTCTCTCTCTCTCTCTCTCTCTCTCCCTCCCCCTCTCTCTCTCTCTCCCTCCTGTATAATTTTTCTTCCTTGAAAATTCTGCACTTCTCAGGTGATCCAAGCAAGGGAAAAACCTTTGCAGACGACATCTCATTTATTCTAACTGCTACACACTTCCTTTGCAGTTTGGTTTGGGCTAAAGTGATCTTAAAACACCACATTGCTAGCAACAAACATGTAAAACCAGATACTAAAACTTAGAGCTGTTACACTAGTTTGAATGGTCAGGTCAGGACACTAAGAGAGACAGAATCCTAGACTTAGAGGTTTAGAACTGGAAGGGATCTGAGATGCCATCTTATTCAACCCCTTCATTGTACAGTTGAGTAAATTGTGGTGCAGGGGAGATAAGTGATTTACTGAAGGTTAACAGGGGCAGTGTCAAAAGAGGAATTTGAATCTGTGTCCTCTGGTTATTGAGACAATGTTCTTTCCAATATAAGTCTTTCCATTGGAGTCTAACGAAATAGGCCTTGGGAACTCCCTTTCTTAATTTTGTCATGGAATGATTTTTGGGTAGGTGAGGGAAAATATGATAAGTGAAAGGTAAGATTGCTCTTGTGTTCAGGGGATGGGGAAACAGGAAGGTTAAGGAAGAAGAGGGCAGACAGAAATAGGTATCTGAATTAATTTTTATTCTTTTCCTTGAGCTTGAGAGTTATTACTTATAACCAGATAATTTGTTAGGATATTTTGTTCTTTCTACAAACATATTGTCTTTCTCATCAAATGTGAACTCCTAGAGGACAAGGACCATATTTTATTTGTCTCAGTGTTCACTTTGAACATAGGGGCTGCTAAACAAAAATCAATGAAGAAACCCATAAGTACCTAGTTAAGAAGCAAATAACCCACTCTGACCAGCCCCATGATCTTCCTGAGGCAAATTTTACTCAGAAAGTTGAGTAAAAAGAATTATAGTGATAGAATATTAGAGCAGTAAGGAACTTTGAGAGCATCTAATCTAAATTTTATACTTTTATAAATCTGAGGATTTTGACAAATGAGAAAGTTGAGGCTCAGAAAAGTGAAACAATTCATGAAATTTGAACTGTCTGGACTGGATTATCCACTAGGGAAACTGAGGCAGGCATTTCACTGAGCATGGAGCAATGATTCCTAAAGGCCCCACATCCTTCATCTGCTACATTTCTCCATTGGCACCTAAGGATGGAACTCAAGGGAGGCGGCATAGTGTATTTGGGACACGTCCTACCTGAAATCAAAGGACGTAGGTTCAAATTCTGTCTTTGTCTTTGGAAATCACTTAACCCTACTGTGCCTAATTTTCCTCATGTGTAAAATGAAGAGGCCAGACTAGATGGCATGTGAGGTACCTTTCAACTTTGCCTCTTGATGTTTTTTGGTGCCCTCTTTTCTTAATAATTCAAATACATAGTTACCTAAACCAGGTGGGGTGGTGGATAGCAAGACCTCAGTTCAAATCTGGCCTCAGTTGCTTACTATCTGTGTGGCACTAGGCAAGTTACTTCAAAAACAAACAAACAAAAAAAAAACAAAACAACAACAACAACAAAACAAACAACAAAAAACAAAACAAAAAAAACCCCTCACATTGCTCATTTGTAAAATAAAGATGATGATAGCACCTGCCTCCCAGGGTTGCTGTGAGGACCAAGTCAGAGAGCTGTAAAATTCTTGGCTCAGTGCACAGATCACAGAAAGCACGATATAAATGTTAGCTATTATTATTTTCCTCATTGGCTAGTAAGACACAAGAATTCAGGAAGATTGCCAATTGGGGCAGGCTATCAAAGGGCCTTATTTTCTTCACCATCACTATTTCTGTAATCCTCAGAACAGCGGTGCATTTAGATTTCCTGAGAGGCTTGAATTAACCCTAGTATATGCAGTTGTGGAAACTACGCGTTAATTGTTCTAATGAGCCCCTCTTCTCATTTGGTCTCCCTTCTTCCTTTCTCCTATTCCTGATGGGTGTGTTCTTAGGGGCACATTCCATAGAGCACCTGTGTTCTTGCTGTGGTAGGAGTGGGAGTGAATGTGTGCAGATTTGGAAGGATTTTCAACTTGGAGCCAAATTTTTAGTGTAGATGTTCATGCTTCAGAAATCACCAAATATGCAAATCAATACCTAATTTTTTGTTGTTTTTGAATGTAATGATTGTGTTGAATGTGATTGTTAAAAGTGATGGAGAAAATGATAATGTAGATTAAACATAAAAATCTGTCATGCATACAGATAGACCCCTCCCAAGAAATCCAGTTGTTAAATATTTACCAGCATACCCCTGAACCTGCTCCATTCTACCTGGCTGCCTTAACGGGGTTTGAAATGACATAATGGTGTTTGGTTGTTTCATTTTTCCCATGCCTCATTTTCTCCTTTTGCCAAATGTGGTTAGGCTTGGAACCATGAAAAACCAGATTGATTCACTATTGTAAATGTGTTTTTTTTTTTTCTTTAGATGTATGTGGCCAACTAATATTTCACTTAGCATTGACTCAGTGAGCTAATTTTTCAAGTCCTGACTGTAGCTTAGGTTATAGTACACACACACACACACACACACACACACACACACACACACACACACATCATAAGCTTATCATGGTTTCATATATTAATACTAAGAACACTAATCTGTGAAATTTCCCTTCTGGAACCAAGATCTTCAAGTCTCAAGTCTCTTCTTTGTCCTCTCCCAGGCTGTGGTTTCTTTATGTACTTCAACAGCAGCTCTGTGAAAGTTGGGGAAAAGGCAATCCTGCAAAGCCGAGTATTTTACCCCAAGAGAAAGTTTCAGTGCTTGCAGTTCTGTCACTACAATAGTGGTAACAAAGATGACCAGCTCAAGATCTACATCAGGGAGTATACCTCAGAAAATGGTAATGGCTCTCTTACTCTGGTGGATGAAGTGAAAGGTATGATATTTCATCCTGGGGAATGAATTAAGGTTCACATTGGGCTGAAAACTTCTATATCTCTTTGCTTGCCTTCATAGAACTTGTCAGAGGCCTTTTGTCTTTATAATGCTTAGCCTTTGGTCTTCTTATGGTTTGTGATGTGCATGGGATTTTTAGCTGGAGGGGACCCCAGCATACATCTGGTCCAAGACTTTCTGTTTTTATTTTGTCTTTCCTATGTGACTGTGGACGAGTAATTTAACCTCTGTATGCTTTAGTTTTCTTTTTTTCTAAAATGGGAAGAATAATAACACCTTTCTCGCAGGATTGCTATGAGGATCAAATGAGATTTTTGCAAAGTGCTTTACAAATCTTAAATCATTACATAATTTCTAGCTATTATCAGTAGTAGTTCTCATATTCTTATGAGTAGCACAGGGCTAAAACTTGATCCCAGAATACGGCTGCCTGTCTTGCTCTATAATCCTAGGAAAGTTGTCTGGGGAGGGAGTTACGGCATCAGTTACTGAAAAATTCTTAGGGGGAAGCTAGGTGTCGCAGTGGATAGAGCACCAGTCCTGAAGTGAGGAGGACCTGAGTTCAAATCCAACCTCAGACCAAACACTTGACACTTACTAGCTGTGTGGCCCTGGGCAAGTCACTTAACCCCAATTGCCTGAAAAAAAGAAAGAAAGAAAGAAAAATTCTCAGACATCCCATCAGGTCTTGTGATCTGGCATAATATTAGAAAGTAAAATGTTTAAATTGGAGGGTGGATGGAACTATGTTATAGAAACTTATTGACTTATGACCTAACATTTAGTCGTGGAAGCTATGAACTGTTTTTGTTCATTAGTAATTGGCCCAGTAATTGACTTTAAAAAGCCAGTATTTCTCTTCCATTACAGATGCACCCATTGGGAACTGGCAACTGCATTATGTACCATTGACAGTTACCACCAATGGTACTGAAAGAACTCGAGGTGTTGGCACATCAGCTGGTGGTCTCTCCATTGGTGACATCAACCTTTCAGAAACACACTGTCCTCATCACATTTGGAAGATAAGCAATTTCATGCAACTCATTAGCTCAAGGAGAATCATTTTTAGCCCTCCATTTTATTCTCCTACAGGCTACACCTTTCACATTCGGTTGGAGCTAAACAATCGGAAGCATATAGGGATATTTTTCTCCCTGATCTCTAGAACCAATGATGAAAAATTGCAGTGGTCATGTCCATGGCAACAAGCCACAATGGCACTATTGGATCAAAATCCTGATATTCATCTCCGTATGTCCAACCAGAGGAGTGTTACTACAGATCCATTTAAAAAAATCTGGTTTGTCAATTTTTTTCTTTATTCCTGACACAATATGTCTTTTCACTGGAAAGCTGGGGAGGGAGGGAAGGGAAAAGAAGGAAGAGAAAAAGGATGAAAATGGAGCTAGATTGCTTATCATTTAATAGTGACCACCAATGGGTCTGGTATAGGATTCCATAGTCTTTGGAAAAGGAGAGCAGTAAAAGCTCCAATAGAGAAACTTGGAATGAGAAGCTTGGCCACATAAAAAGTATGGGCTGATTCAAAGGATAATCCTTTCCCCCAAATAATTCTCAGCCTCTGACTTATGTCCCACTCCTGTTCTTTGTGCTACCCAACTACCCTGGTTACACCATGATGGTGGTTATGATAGTGGTATTATTCAATTCTTGAATAGGAGAGAACTTCCTAATAAAAGATTGCTGAATGAATGAACAGCTTAAGCAGGTTCAACAGGTGAAACAGTGACATTGAAAAAATAGGAATAAATTATAATGACTCAATGAAAAGTTCTTAAAGATTGGTCTATACTGTGACTATCATGTCCGTTTTCTAGTTCCTGAAAAGGAACAGTATTTAGGAATTGAACTTCTTACTTTATGATTTTTTTTACTGTACACTGTAGGGGCTTGGTAAGGAGAAAAGAAGAGTGTTTCCCAAAGAATTATTGTGAGCCTGAATTTTGAAATTTATTGTGAAAAGGTTGAACTTCTGAAATAGAGCATATAAGAAACATGGTAACCTTAGAGGGAGATAAATGTGCAGAACCCACATGTAGAAGTCTCCCTCACCATAGATAGCCAGCCAGACAGACTTGTTGTTGTTTTGTTCTTCATTGTCAAAGAGGGCCAATAACATCAGGAGGTTGATGTCTTGACTTGAAAATGAATTGGATTTAAGTAAGGGAGAATGGTGCAAAGCCTCACTCTCTCCTCCAGAGTCTTTCCGAGTCCAGTGCTAACACATAGGTCAGGATGACTGGCAACAGCATCAGATGCAGTGGAAGACCTTGGCCTTTTTAACCTAAGGTCTTTCCCAGGTCTCAGTTTGTCTGAGGCAACACCCATTCAGTGATTAAAAGATATGTAAGAATTGAGGCAAAAGATGGCCTAGTTTGCTTTCTCAAAAGAATCAGTCTGGGAGGGGAAGACCCTCAAGATTTCTGGCCAGAACAGAAACAATTGCTATTTACACTCACTCTGAGCCATCAGAATCTAAACAATGACCAAATGGGGCTTTGACTGGGACCTATTATTGGCCAGTCAGTGAGAACCAGAGTGATTTGGGTTTAAAGGCATAGTCAAGTGTCTCCATTTATATAATAAAGCCCAATGGACTTTATCAAAGCCTGGTTTTTCAGAGCTATATTTCAAGAAATCATAAATGAAAACTACATAAGACAAAAGAGTTAATTATCCAGTTTTTCAGGAAAAAAAACCAATGCTAGAATAAATAAGTAGGGAAGAAAAAAAATCTAGCCCTCAAGCTCCAACATATCTTGAGAAGGATAAGTGATCAAAATTTATATTCCTTTGGACAGAGCACCCACATGTAAGTGTGTGACTCCTCAGACAAAGGGAGAAGAAGAAGGAAAGAAGAAAGAAAGAAAGGAAGGAACCAAGGAAGTAAGGAAAGAGCAGCATTGCCCAACTGGAAGTGGCCAGTGGAGTCCTCAGTGGGGCAGCTACTACTACTCACAGATTGTTGTTTGTCCTTTGTTCTTGAAAAGGACCAATGACATCAGGAGAGTGATACCTTGACTTGCAAGTGAATTGGATTTAAGTGAGGCAAGGCTGTGCAAAGTCACCAGTTTCACTCTTTCTTCGAGTCATTTGAGGTCCAGTGGCAAGACATATGTCAGAAAGACTGGTGATGGCCCAGATGCAGTGAAGACCTTGACCTTTTAAGCTAAGGTCTTAAATAGAAAGATAGAGAGATAGATAAATAGATAGAAAGATAGATAGACAGATAGATGTATAAGTAGGCAGATAGAGCACATAAGCACTTATATGTACCAAGCATGGTAGGAAGAGCTGGGGATACAAATGCAAGCAAACAAGAAAGTCCTCACTGCCAAGAGCTTCCATTCCAATGGAAATGACAGTACTGAATAGGAACTACAGCACGGTGTGGGGAGAAGAAAGTATACCAGGCAGACAAGATGACTGAGGAGGAAGTAAAGAAGTTTGGAGAGATAGCAGAGACAGGAGTGAAGTGAGCATGGCTCAGGCCCCTCTGGAAATGATGTCCTGAAGTCATTCTTTGGAAATCATTCTTTCTCAAATTACATTGAAGAATTACCTGGAGATATTGAGTTGTGACATTCTGTCAGAAAACAGCACCTCCCTCAAACTCCTCCCATGAGCCTTTGCTACGTAGCCCTGGACTCTGAGTACAGGGCAAGATGACAGGGTCAGCTGACAGTCTAAGCAGAATGAGCCGTCTGTAGAGCCACAGAGAAAAGAATGGAACTGTCTTCCATGGAGTCAGTATTGATTCCTCTGTGATTTCCTCAACCCATTTTGCTAAGGAACTAAAATGGTAATATTTGGTTCAGAACGTAAGGCATAATAGAAACAACATTCTCTGTAAGATCCTGGGTAAATTATATTATCTTTCTGGGCCTCAGTTTCCCCATTCTTAGAATGAAGGGGTCGGAAGACACCTTCTCTAAGATCCCTTCTGGTTCTAAATATAGTAGCTTCTGATCCAATACTGTATAATATAGTGCAAGCATTCCATGCTTTAGGAATAGAGGTGGTTCTGGTGCAATTTGAAAAATATCTAGCCGGAACAAAGCCATAAGTCAAACAGTTACCTCTTTTTTGAGCATCTGAGTGTATTTCAGTAATTCCTTCAGCCAGTTCAGAAACAAGCATATAAGTAGGAAATAGCCTCTTTTCTTCTCTTCAGCAGACTCCATAGGAATCGCTGGGCTCTCTGGTTTGTTTGTTTTTTTTTCATTTTTGAATATCTTGGGGAAGATGGAAGTAGCACAGGCAGAATTGTGAAGTTAAGCAAAGTTTATCTTCTGAATAATCTCTCCCTCCTTTCTCTCTCTCCAGAGCCCCTTTTGGGCCTCTCCTAATGTTCTATGATTGCCCTTGGCTGACTTGGGTCCCCTACTTCCAGGCCTCATTGACATGCTGTACTTCTTTCTTGATGTGAGATTCCTTCAAGACTTTATTTCCCAGCAAATGACATTCAATTAATCTAACTAATTTAACTAAATATATTAAAGTAATCTCTATTAATGTGTTGCTCTATCCAGATACAATATGCTCTTAATGCATTTAAAATGAACAAGAAAATCTCTAAAAATTCCAATGGTGGGAATTACAACAGGTCTGTGAAACAGATATTTAGGGTTAGGATTTTTGTCACTTTTCCAGTTACACCACACTGGTGATCATTGGGCCTCTGTCTACTATGTATTCCTTTAGCATTAAGAATGCAATAACAAGCTTCACAGACCTGGAAGAGAAAGTATCCCTGGATATAAACACCACGTATTCGCATGTCATGCTTATACCATTGTACCATGGCTTGTTTGTTCCAATCTCACGAAAACCTGACCTTACTGGACATGACCCATAAATATAAAGTGCTTTTTCAGGTAATGGAAATCAAACCTTTTTTTGGGACAAGCCCTCCAAAGTAGGAGTGATGGCAACATTCCCCAATGGAACATCATATAGCAGAGGTTGGGGATATGGAACCAGAGCCTATATAACCCACCAAAGGACGTGAAACAGAGATTTTATCAAAGGAGATACTGTTTACATCCTTCTGACTGTGGAAGGTATGTCAACACAAGGTGACTTTCCTGTACAGAATGCTTTTCTTTTTCTTTTTAAGTAAATTTATTTATTTTAAAAATTCATAAAATTTTTTTTTGAGTTTCATGTTCTTTCCTTCCCTCTCATCCCTCCCACATCCAGTGTAAAAGCAAGAAATGTCAAATAAATTATACATGTGAAATCATATAAAACATAATTATATATTATACAAGGTAGAGAGTACAATTTTTCCATGCTCTCCTAATTTGTACTAGTTATCAACCTTCAAGTTTAAATATATACCCACTGTGTGACCTGGTGTGAGTTGTTGGACCATACTTAATTTCTGCCAAGCTGATCTCCAGGTTTCCCAGCAAATTTTATCAAATATAGAGTTCTTGTCCCAAAAAACTTGGATCTTTGGGTTTATCAAACACTAGATTACTGTGGTAATTTAGAACTATGTTTTGTGTATCTAATCTACTCCACCGATCCACCACTCTTTTTCTTAGTACCAGAATGTTTTAATGATTACTGTTCTGTAATATAGTTTGAAACCTGGTATTGCTAGGCTGTCTTCCTTCATATTTTTTTCATCAATTCCCTCAAAATTTTTGACTTTCTGTTCTCCCAGATAAATTTTGTTATTTTTTTCTAGCTCTGTAAAATAATTTTTGGTAGTTTGATTGATATGACACTGTGTAAGTAAATTAATTTAGTTACAACTGTCATTTTTATCATATTGACTTAGCCTACTCATGAGCAATTGATATTTCTCCAGTTATTTAAATCTGTCTTTACTTGTGTGAAAAATGTTTTGTAGTTGTGACCATGTAGTTCCTGCATTTTCTTGGCAGGTAGTTTCCCAAATATTTTATATTGTCTACAATTATTTTAAATGGAATTTCTCTTTCTATCTCTTCCTACTAGGCTTTGTTGAAAGAATATTTTTTCTTTGTATGACAGTACATGACTTACTGTGAGTTTCTATTTTCTATTTTCAGGTATATAAGATGAGTTCATAAAAGTGGAGGTTAGAGGTGGGAAGGCAAGAGATATTTCCATACACTCAGCTGTTTATGACAGTGTGGAAGAACCATGTCCAACTTATACCTATCTTCCAGCTAATCGACTGGGACATGAGACTGCATATCAGAAAGACCCCTGGCCTGAGAGTCATTACTCCTGGGTTCTAGTCTCACCTCTGCTACTAACTCTCCATGTGACTTCATAGCACACTTCTCTAGGACTCAACCTTATAACATAAGAAAGTTAGACTAGATTCAGGGGTGGGGAACTTGCGGACTCAAGGCCACATGTGGCCCTCTAGGTCCTCAAGTGTGGCCCTTTGATTGAATCTAAACTTCACAGAATAAATTCCCTTAATAAAAAGATTTGTTCTATAAAAGTCGGACTCAGTCAAAACGCCACACCCAAGGACCAAGAAGGCCACATGTGGCCTTGAGGCTGCAGGTTTCCTATCGCTGGATGATCTCTAAGGTACTTTTTACCAACAAAGTTCTGTGATATCTATTTTATTAGCTAGTTGTGATTCTTGATTATCCTGTCTCAGAGGACACACATAAAGATGGAGAGAGACTGTCTTAGGTTTATCGTAGAAAGATTCAGAAGAAAAGAAGGGAAAATATGTCACACATGTTTCATGATATATTTTATGCCTTAAGAAAACAAACCAAAACAACTGAAACCTGAAACAAAAGTGGTTCTAAATCAGGGGCTTGTGACTTTTTTTTTAAAAAGATTTTGATAACTGTATTTCAATGTAACTGTTTTCATTTGTAATCCTATGTAATTTTATTTTATTCATTTAAAAGCATTCTGAGAAATGGTCCATAGGCTTCTTCAAATTTCCAAAGAGGTCTGAGACACAAAAAGGTTTAAATTCCATTAAAGTCACCCAAAGCCCAGATAATTCATTCCTTTTTTTTTTAAAGTAAGCTTTATAGATTTTTTTTGGTTTTGTTTTTCAGCATTGTTATTTATGGAAGTTGTGTGTGTATGTATTTGTGTATGGGTATGGGTATGTGGGTGGGTGTATTTCTTTGCATAAATTTCTAGCAGTAAAAATTATCCATTTATTTCTTAAAACAGTTGAGCTGTGGCAATGCATATCAGTACTTCAAAAGGTCCATGATTTTAGCTTGATGGGTACACTCTCTCCATTGACCTGAATTGTAACCACCACATCGCTTAGTATATGATTTCATGGGTTTCTGTTCCAAGAAAATCATTACTTCTTGCTTAGTCTTTGATGCTGAACTTCTTCAAGTTTAGCTAGGTTGGGTCTGAGGCAAAGAACCCAATGGAAACCTTTTCAACTAGGTAAGACCAGTGGTGTGCTGATGAATACTTAGCAACTGGCTCTGCAGAAAAAAATGCATACAAGACAGACTTTTAAGTTTAATTTTAATTATTAATATCTTTCTATTACTTTCTTAAATAGTCAATAAAGCTGTAAATCATACCCTGATTTGCAGCATTTGCTGTTTTTCAAAGTGTAAATGCTATCTTGAAAATTTAACAATCAGTTCTTGTGAGCAAGTTTGAGGTAGCTCCAGGAAACCCCTGGACCTGCCAGAGCTCATACTTTACTTATGGTGCCTTTGACTATCCTGGATCAGCTCTGTACCATAATAATGCATCAGAGTATATTTCATATTTTAATTTCAATAATTCTCATTTTGTTAATTAGAGCTATATTTTTTTTCATGTTAAGCGTACCTCATGAGAAGCAGTGTGGCATAGAGTCTAGAGAACTTGTATCAGAGTCAGGATGATCTGAGTTCAAGTACCACTTCCTACACATACTGACCATGCAATCCTGGACAAAGTCCTTGACCTCTCAGTGGTCCAGGGATCTCTCCAAGACTATAAATTAGAGAATAATTGTCCATTTATGTTGTAGAAGGAATTTCTTCACTGTAAACTATGTATACTAATGAAATTACAGATCTATACCAAATCACCCCACTCACCTTGGGCCATCTCCAGGCCTCAGTTTCCTCATCTGTAAAGAATAGTTGTCAATCTGTATTAGTAGAAGAAGTTGGCTCACTGTGAGCCTTGTATACTTACACAACTCTAGGTCTACACCAAATCACCTACCATACCTTGAGCTCTGTCTAGGCCTCAGTTTCTTCATCTGTAAAATGAAGGATATGGAACTCTCTATAACTTAAGGTCCCTGGCTCTAACACGGTCTAGTCTTTGTTTTCTCTGACTTAGGAGTTTAAGAGTTGAGAAGAAGTCTTGTGATAGCAGATGGCCCAGTATATAGTGTTGGAAATTTTGATTTTTGTATATTTGATAGAAGGAAAACCAGATTACATCCCTTGTCATGCATCTTTTAGCATTGTCCTATTCTTATGGAGAGACATACATATTTCTATAGACCATAAAAGTGACAGTATCATCAATTCTGCCAGGTCCTGTATTAATCACACAATTATAGTTTTATTTTTGTGTTTTATATATTTTTATCTATGTGCCTGTCACATAGTAGATGCTTAAGACACAGGTGCTTTCTGATTAATTAATAAAATCAAGTAAAATGTGTTAACTCTGAGCTCTGAGACTTAACTATGCCAGTTTCTCTGCTCTGAAACCTCCTAAAATATACAGCATGTCTTTCTGCATCAGAATGTCCACATCTTCTACAATATCCCCATAAAGTAGTCATTGAAGACCTCCCCTTGAAGACCTCCAGTGATGGGAAATTTAGCTGCTATCACCTCACCCTTCAGTTTATCTTTTACCTACTCTGTTTATATCTTCTATGCATTTAGTTATTGCTGTCAATTCCTTTAGAATGGACACACCTTGAGGGCAGGGACAGGTTATTTTTTTTCCTTTCTTTGTATCCTTGGCACTTAGCACCATGGCTAGCACAAACTAAGTGCTTAATATTAATCAATGATTGCTGACTGATTGATTCAACCTCAGTTTCTACAGGACTCTAAGGGCTTTGTCACACCCACAATCCTAAAACTTAACATTTCATGGTTATTAAAACAAAAACCAACCTCCATCTATGTACCCTTTTCTCCTTTAGATATATCACATCTCTTTTTCACTGAGTCATCATCTATTCCTATGACATCAGAACCTAACTCATGTGTCTGTGAAGGATTCATCTGTGAGAATGATGACATCTGTGTTATCCATAATGACAAAGCAGAATGCAGGTAAGAAGAGAGCTTTAGTATCTCCGGGCATACTTTGATCTTTATGAAGTGTCTTCAGTTACCAAAAAAAGAGGTTTGGAAGTTGGGGAAAGGTTTATTCCCCTGCCTGTAATCTTCACAATGCTGCCCATAGAACATTTCTAGAATCTTATGATCACGGACTTAGAGCTGAAAAGGACCTGAGGTGTCATTGAATTCAACTCTCTGAGAGGTCCCACAGATAGAAGAGGATCCAGGATATGAATGAAAATCCTCTGATTCCAAATAAAGTGTGCTTCCCATTGCAGTTGCCTTTGCACTGTAGTTCATTTTATGTCCTTTTATGACTAGTAATGAGAATAATGACATTGCCTGAATTCTAATGGAATACCATTATTTGCATAGTGAATAGAGTTTTGGGCATTGAGTCTAGAAGACTTCAATTCAATTCTTACCTCTGATACTTACTGGCTACCACCCAGGGCAAGTCACTGAATCTCTGAATCTCTTTCTTGGAGATAATAATGTCAATGGTGTTTGCCTAACAGGCCTACAGAGGCCCAGATGTAATAATGTCTGTAAAATGCTTTGTAAATTTGGTGAAGTGCTCTCTCTCTCTCTCTCTATATATATATACACACATACATACACTATATATATACATACACAATATATACACATATACATATACACATAAACATATACATACACATACACACACACATATATTTTATATATATATATATATATATATATATACATATATATATCCAGGTACCCAGGTTCTCAACCATAGTTTCATCCTTGGTCCTCACTCTTACTCACTGTATATATCTAATCAGTTGCCAAATTTTGTCTTTTCTACCTTCACAACGTCACCAGTATACATCCCCCTCACATCCCCCTGCCATACTAGTTCAGACTTTGATCCTCTCTTGCCTGGACTGTTGCAGTCACCTCCTAATTGGTATTCCTAACTTAATTCTCTCCATACTCAGCTGCCAAGTGATATTCCTAAAGCGTAGGTCTGACCATGTTATGGTGCCCCACTTAAATAAACTCCAATGGCTCTTTATTATATCCACGCTCAAATATAAAGTCCTTTGTTTAGCATTTTAAGCTCTTCGTAACCTGGCCCCTTCCTAGCTTTTCACTCTTACACATTGCACTCCTGTACACACTCTCTGATCTAATCATGCTGGTCTGCTTGCTGTTCCTCACACACAATACTGCATCTCTCATCTCCATGACTTGGTAGTATAGGCTGTCACCCACGGTTGGAATGCTTTCCCTACTCATTTGCTACCTCTTCTAATGCCACAGCTTCCTTCAAGACTCAGCTCAAAGGGTGTCTTTTACAGGTCTTTTCCTGTTCACCCAACTCATAAAGCCTTCTCCTTTAAGCTTACCTCCAACTATTCTATGTATCTTGCAGATCCCTATTTTTTTGTATATTATTTCCCATATTAGAATGTAAGCTCCTTGAGGGTAGGGGCTGTTCTTGCTTTTGTTTTGTATCCCTAACAATGAACACAATATCCAAAAGATAATAGATATTTAATAAATGCTTGATTGAAGATGAATAATAACTCACATTTATAGTATAGACTATTTTAAAGTTCCTTAGGTACTTTCCTTACAATAATCCTGTGAGGTAAACTGTGCAATTGGCTGCACAAATATTTATTATTCCTTTTTTAAATGGGAAGGGGGAGGGAATTCCTTTTTTCCTCTTTGTCATGACTGGGGTCAGATCTGAACTCAGATCTTCCTGATTCCAACCCTGGTTCTTTACCCACTGTGGCACGTGGCTGCTCCTCTAGCTTTCCTTGTTAATGGAAATAACTGGCTCTTCCTATCTACTTTTCCTGGCCTCTCATTTCCCAAGGTGCACTCTGCTTGGAGATGAAGATGCAAGTACAAAGAATGAAATGATCACTACTCACAATGAGTTTATTTTCTAATGGTTAGCCCTCAGTTTTCCTAACTGAAAAATGAAGGGTTGGATTAAATGACATCTAAGGTCTTTCTTAGCTCTAAATCTATGATCCTATCATCATCCCTCATTCACAGCTACCACAATACCTTCAACAGTTACCTTGCTTGACCCAAAATTTGTGATGAAAACTAACTCCTTTCACACAAAACAAGTGGTCTTTTAATTTGCTCTTCATTCAGTTTCCTCAAGTACACCACTTCTCCTTGATAATGATAACACTGTTAATAACAATACTTAAAGTATCCACTGTTTCCCTGATGTAAGATACAACCAGGGGCATACTTGAGTCAGCTGGTACCTGTTCTTGAGAGCTGATGGTTAAATTTTCAGTGTGAGCATTTACACCTTGGAAATTGGCAAACACTATAAATCAGGAAGAGAGGCTTGATGGTGCAGTGGGCAGAGTACTTGACCTGCAGTCAGGAAGATCCATCTTTGTGAGTTCAAATCTGGTCTCAGACACTTTTACTAGCTGGAAGTGACCTGGGCAAGTCACTTAACACTGTTTGCCTCAGTTTCCTCAGCTGTAAAATCAGATAGAGAAGGAAATGGCAAATCACTCCAGCATCTTTGCCAGGAAAACCCCAAATGGAGTCACAGAGAATCAGACACAACTGAAAAAATGACTGAGCATTTCAGGATTTGCTTTATTGCCATGACGATTGTCTAGACATAAGAAAATAATGGAGAAAATGTTAAAAATGCAGTTTAAATTTTAAAGTGTGTCATGAATACTTTTTTTCCCCCCTGGAGAATCATTTACACATTTAGAAGCATATCCCAGACACACTTGTCCATTGCAGATCCCAACCCTTCTATTAGTTGTGAAATCCTATGTCCAAAAATATTTAACACCTGTTGCCCAGCCTGACCCATGGGCCTCTCAGAACTTAATTTGGCTCCTTCTTGGATGACAGCTGAAGAGACCTTCACCAAAGCCCAGTCAGAGCTAGTGTTCCATTAGTATAGAACTCAAGGCTGCCTTCATGCTACAATAAGATATTGAAGGACTCCAATGCAGGAATATGGAAAACATTAAAACATCCCTCATCCCAGCATAGTCTGTCTCTCTGTCTCTCTCTCTCTCTCTCTCTCTCCCTCTCTCCCCCTCCCTCTCTCCTTTTCAATGTGTCTCCAACATATAGAATTCCCCTTAAAGTGAAATGACTTTTTTATTCCCATTTTAGAAATGATAGAAAAGAGACTCAGGAGAGTTGAGAATTATCCAAGTTCACATGGTCAGCTGACAACAGAATTGGGACCAATATCTGCATTTTGAGAGTGAACACCTAAGACCCCCACTGGGGCTATCTGTGCAATACTTCCATGGAAAAAAAAGTAGCTTTAGGCTAAACCTAATGGGCAGCTGGGTGGCTCAGTAGAAAGGGTACCAAGCCTGGAATCAGGAAGACCTGAGTTAAAATCTGGCCTCAGACACTTATTAGTTGTGTGACCCTGGGAAGTAGCTTCATCCTGTTTACCTCAGTTTCTTCATCTGTAAAATGAGCTAGAGAAGGATATGGCAAACAACTCCAGTATTCAGCTGAGAAAAAGGTGACTGCTTTCTATTTCCAACCAGTTTTTGCCAAAGGTCTATCATATCTAACTTTTCCAAGATTCTATTCATCGACTTGACTTCTGTCTTATTTATTTTATGCTTAGATTTATCTATTTCTGAGAGGGGAAAGTTGAGTCCCCCTCCCCAGTACATTTTTATTAAGAATTTGCCACTTGGTGTTTATATAAATATTGATATTACTTCATTTTTATGGTTCATTTTAGCAAGATGTAGGCTCCTTGCTTATCACTTTTAACTAGGTCCATTTTTGCTTTTGCTTTGCCTGAGATCATAATTGCTATCCCTGTATTTTTTTTTCACTCCGGCTGAAGCATAATAGATTCTCCTTCAGCCCCTTATTTTAATTCTGTGTATGTCTCTCTGTTTCAAGTGTGTAATCTTGTAAACAACATGTTGTTGGGTTCTGATTTCTGATTCATTCTACTATTTGCTTCCATTTAATGAGTTCATCCCATTCACATTCACTGTTATGATTATTAACTTTGCATTTCCTTTTATCTCGTTTTCTTCTGTTTATCCTTCTATCTCTCTTTTTATCCTGTACCCCTCTCAAGTCTTTCTTGCTTCTGATGATTGTTTTTTTTATCTGCCCTCCCTCTTATAACCCCCCCCCCTCCACTTTGCCCTCCTACTTCCCTGTTGGGTTAGATAGATTTCAATGACCAATTGAGTATGTTTTTATATTTTTCTTTTTTGAACCAATTTCATGTGAGTGAGGTTCAAGAGTTGCCCACCTGTTACTCTAACATTTTCCCCTCCATTGTAAAAGATCTTCCTTGTGTACCTCTTTTATATGAGATAATTTTCTCCATTCTTCCTCTCCTTCCCTCTTTCAAAGTATCCCTTTTTCTCATTTGTATTTTTTTACATCATCCCAACATAATCAACTCATTCCCACATTCCCTTTTGAAATGGACTAATTCTAACTGCCCTAATAATGGTAAAAATTCTTAGAAGATATGTCTCAGCTTCCCCTATAGAAAGGTAAACATTTCAACCTTATTGATTCCTTTATGATTTCTCTTTCATGTTTACCTTTTTATGCTTCTCTTGAGTCTTATATTTCAAAGTCAAATTTCCTATTCAACTCTGGTCTTTTCTTCAGAAATCCTTGAACATCCTCTGTTTCATTATATTCTTTCCCTTGAAAGATTATACCCAGTTTTGCTGGGTAGGTTGTTATTAGTTGTAATCACAACTCTTTGGGAATATCATATTCCAACCCTCTCTTTCTTTAATGTGGTAGCTACTAAATCTTGTGTGATCCTGATTATGGCTCCACAACGCTTGAATGCTTTTTTTTCCTGGCTACTTGAAGTATTTCCTCTTTGAACTGGGAGCCCCAGAATTTGTTTATAATATTCATGGGAATTTTCATTTTGGGGATGTCTTTCAGGTTGTGGTCAGTGGCTTCTTTCTATTTCTATATTATCCTCTGGTTTAATCATATCAGGGTAGTTTTGCTGGACAATTTCTTGCAATACGATGCATAGGTTTTCTATTTGATTGTGGCTTCTTGGTCATCCAATAATTCTTAAATTATCTCACTTTGACTTATTTTCCAGGTCAGTTTTTTTCCCAGTGAGATATTTCACATCTTCTTCTATTTTTTCATTCTTTTGATTTTGTGGTTTTGTTTCTTGATATTTCATAAAGTTATTAGCTTCTAATTGTTGTTGTTCAATTGTTTCAGTCATGTCTGATATTTTGTGACCCCATTTAGGATTTTCTTGACAAAGAGACTAGAATGATTTTCCATTTCCTTCTCCAGTTCATTTTATAGATGAGTAACTGAAGTAAACAAAGTTAAGTGACTTGCTCAGGTCATGCAGCTAGTAAGTGTTTGAGGCCAGATTGGAACTCAGGAGACAAGTCTTTCTGCCTCCAGTTTTGACACTAGCTTCTACTTACCCAATTCTAATTTTTAAGTAATTATTTTCTTCACTGAGCTTTTGTACTTCTTTTTCCATTTAACCAATTCTGCTTTTTAAGGAGTTATTTTCATCAGTGCATTTTTGTTTCTCTTTTATTGTTTGGCCAATTCAGTTTTTTTTAAGGTGATATTTTCTTCAGTATTTTTTTATGGCTCTTTCCTCAAGCTGTTAATTGTCTTTTCATAGTTTTCTTCCTTTTCTTTTTTTAGCTTAATTTTTCTTCTACTATTCTCATTTGATTTTGAAAATACTTTTTTAGCTCTTCCAGGAATTCTTGTTGGGTTTGTGTCCAATTCACATTTTTCTTTGAGACTTTGATTATAGCTGTTATGACTTCATCATCTTCTTTTCGGTTTATGTCTTGATCTTCCCTGTCACCTTATAGCTTTTTGGGGTCAGGTTTTTTTGTTGTTTGCCAATTTTTCCATTCAATGTCTTGATTTGGATCTTTATATTAATGTTGGGGTCTGTTCCTAACATGGTGGTGGTGCAGAGAGGAAGGCCGCTGTCTCAAGCTTCAGGCTTTTTGCACTGCTCTTTTCTGAGTTAGTTCTTGGGGTTTGGAAGTTTTTGGTGCTTCTAAAATGGTGTGATTTGGGAAGGGTCTACCCTCTGTTACTTATCCAGGAAGAGCCCCTGATTCCTTGGTATTGAAATTAATCATCTGCTCCCTGCAATTTTGATCCTTTAGGAATTATGGTGTTCCATGCTTCAAAGCTACATTGTGTCACTGGAAGAAAGTTGCTATTACAAAGATGAGGGTTTAGTTCTTTGTTGTAACAAATATAGTGGTTTATTTCTGTACATATGGGTCCTTTTCCCTTTTTTTTATATCTTTGGTTTATCATAAAATTGGTAATGGCATTGATGTGTCTAAGGAGATACACAGTTTAATGAATGATGTGGTATTCCAAAATACACCAAATACCCAACTGCTTTCCAGAAATTGGTCAGAACAATTTACTACTCCACCAAAAGTACATTAATATTGCTATTTTCCCACATTAATCATTTTTCTTTTTTGTCAACTTTGTCCATCTGATGTGTTAGAAGAAATTTCAGACCTGATTTAATTTTCATTTCTCTGATTATTCATCATCTGGAACTTTTTCATATTTTTTTTAAAAAATAGATTTCTTTTCTTAAGAGCTGTCTGTTCATATTTAACCATTTAGCAATTGGAGAATGGCTCTTGTTCTTATAAACTAGAATCTGTTTCTTATATGTCTTAGGAATAAGAACTTTATTGGAAAAATTACAGCAAAAACTTTTTTTCATCATTTAACTGTTTCCCTTCCAACCTGACCTACATTAGATTTGTATGGGCAAAACCTATTAAATTTTGCATAATCAAAATTGTCCATTTCACATTTGTTGATTGTCTCCATCCCATTTTTTGGTTATGAATGATTCTGTTATTCATAATTCTAAAGGTAATTTCTATTTTGCATCTCTACTTTGTTTATGGTGCCACCTTTTATGTCTAAGTCATATATCCATTTGGAACTCATCATGGTATATGTTATGAAATACTGGTCTAAACCTAATTGCTGTCAGACTTCTTTCCTGTTTTCCCAGCAATTTTTGTTGAATAGGGAGTCCTTCCTTCTGTAACTACAATTGTCCTTTCCACATCACAGGGGTTAGGGATGCCCCTGTGATCTGGAAAATCCAAGTAAAAACTTTTTGCTCTCCTTTCATACCAGAGAAGTCTGAATTTTTTTCTTTTTCTTTTATGAGGTGTTTACAGTAACTTATTGTAAAATTTGGGTTGATATTATACAATATTATACCTACATTTTATGCATTCCTGAGTTTCTAAACTTTTCCTGTGTCATCTGCTGGCCTTTGCATGTCATCTGAGGCTTCTATAAAACTCCCCAAAATTCACATTTAATGTATTATGCCGACCTGTGATATGTTGAAATCGCAATAGGGAAAGTTGCAATGTGGAAGGGATAAATGTATAATCTTTGGGCAGTTGTTCTACTGAAGGGGTATTATGCATGACCAGCTTACCCTTGGCCATTAAGAAGATGATATTTCTACTTGCTAGGTTTCATAGACCTTTTTGACACGTTTCCAATGTCTGTTACCTTCTTTTTGGTCACAAAGAGAGAACTTCAAATTGGCCCATTCTGGCACTTTTTGATGTCTCTAATTCAAAAGTTCTGGTAAAGGAGGGAAAGGAAGAAGGAGTTTGAATTGGCAGACATGAGTATTTGTAATTCTCTTGTGGATTTCATATATTATTTTGCTTGCCCTCAGTCCTACTTTTGTGAAAACTAGAGGGGTGTTTTTTTTTCTCCAACAGATAGATCTCACTAAAATTTTGAACCCCACATTCAAGCATTAATTCAAAAGGCATCATTAAGAAAGAAAAGTCCAGGGCAAAGAGAATAGGTTCTAAATTTGGTACTCCTCTAGAGAAGAAGCTGAGAGTGAATCATAAATTCTAATTTACATGATTCTGTGAGTTTAGTAGCAACCTTTACAAGTGACATTAAAGCATTTTAGGGCAATAGAAAATGTTGGATTTGGAGCCAGTATAATAAGGTTGGAATCTTGACTCCATTATTTACTACCTGGATGACCATGAAAAGGACACATGAAACCTCTCTTGGCCTTTAGTTCCATATGTACTAAATGAAGACATTTGGTTAGATGATTCCCACTGTCCTTAGTAGTTCTAAATCTGGTCATAATAAGAATTTTTTACTCCATAAGAAAGAATGGTGTTGTGAAAACTGAAGTCACAAATGCACAAGTCAACATTTTCAACTGATAAAATATGTACTTTTCCAGTGATTTTCCTCCTATGGAGTGACTGATACCTGTTTGAAAATGACCAGGCTGAATGTTAACCAAATAGCTTTCTAAGCATGTTTTGCTATAATATTTCAGAGTCTAATTTCTCATTCTATAGGCGTAAATCAGGTAAAGACTGGTGGTACATGGGAGAAAAATGTGAGAGGAAAACCTCCACCAAGAATGCCATAATTGTAGAAGTACTCTTCCCTGCAGTTGTATTTATTACTATGCTGACAGTGACTCTTGTGAGTGTCTACTGTGTTAAGAAGAAATACAGCCTAAAGAATAATGCCAATGCATAGAATATCACCTTAGAACATGTAAGTATGCAATAATATAACGGAACAAAAATGATCAAAGAAAATCATACAGAGTCATTATAATAACTAATCTTGATCCCAGAGAATAAATAATGAAATATGCTCCCTTCTTCTTGGCAGAGAGGTAGGGTACTACAGGCGCAGCAGGTTGCACATGGCCATTATAGTATTTACTCTTGTTTGAATGATTTCTTTGTTATAAGACAGGGTTCAGAAGGACATAGAGATATATATCCAAAAATGATAAAAAAAATAAAAATTATCAATGCAACTAATTTTTTATGAAGAAAGACAGAGGCTGGAAGTACTACAGGCAGGTGGGTGGCACAATGGATTGAGTGCTGGACCTGGAATCAGGAAGGCTAACCTTTCTAAGTTCAAATCTGACCTCAAACGCTTACTGTGTGACCCTGGGCAAGTCACTTAACCTGTTTGCCTCAGTTTTCTCATCTGTAAAGTGAGCTGGAGAAGGAAGTGGCAAACCACTCCAGTATATTTGACAAGAAAATCCCAAATGGCATCATGAAGAGTAGGATGTGACTGAAATGACTGAACAACAAGAATATAAGTACTACACATAGTAGGTAAGCATAGGGCTTCAGGCATTTCCTTCTAGCCTCTCAGACTCATTTTTTCTTCTATGTGTAAATAGTTATATCAGGTGCTATTATTTCCTCATTTTACAAAAGAAGGTTACTGAGGCAGACAGAAGTTAAGTGACTAACCCAGGTCCACATAGTTAATAAGTGTTTGAATCAGGATTTGAATTCATGTCTTCCTGACTCCAGACCCAGTGCTCTATCTTCTACACCACCAACCTGCCTCTTAAGGCCATAAGAACTGTTCATATTATATAATTAGTGTCAAAAGTAGGATTTGAACCCAGGTCTTCCTGACAATGCCTAGCACTATTTATTTTATTAAAAATGTTTAGATAAATAATTTTTGGTTGTCAGACCACATATGTTACACACTGCTTTAAAAAAGTAAATAATTTGGTTTTTTGAACACTTTTTGTTTCAAATTTGTATTTAAATATGTGATATCCTAGGAGTTGAGTCCTAGTAATGAAGACATAGTAGAGGGAGACTGGTAATTCCACTAATCTTCCTGCTCTTCTGCTGTAGTACTTCCTGCTCCTCATTCAATCCATGGAAGGGATAGACAATGTGACGTCAGCACACAGAGAGAAGAAAGCCTGGACTTTTTTAGCTGTCTTCTCCCTGATTTCCTGTCTGCTGACTCATATTTTCTCTGAGAAAGGACTGAGGGATGATGTTGATGATGGGAGGAAGTGGGGTCTTGGGAGAGAACAATGGCATGAGAGGATCTGGCTCTATTAAGTTCATGTCTCTAATTCTTACAATCTGTGTGACCTTGGGCAATTTGTTGCCTCATTTTTGAAGTGAGGGAATGCAGCTTGATGGTTTCACAGGTGCTTTCCAGATTTAGATCTCTTGCTACGTACTTAAAGACCTTTCTCCTTGGCCCAACTCAATTTGGGGGAGGCTTAGAAGCTTATTCAATTGGAGAAGAATCCTGAACATTATCATGCGGTCTTAGTAACAAGAAAATGCAAGAGTGAAGCAAAGATTTTCAAAATTGAACTTACATAATTTGTAAATTTCAAGTTACCTAGATTCTCATCACTGGGGTCATCCTTGATGCCTCATTTTCCCTCCCCCTATATTTAGTGGCACAAATATACTTTTTTTTATTTCCCCAAGATCTCTCATCTTCACCTCTTTCTTCATTCTTATAGAGCTACCACCCTAGTTAAGGCTCTTCATCACTTCTCCCTGGACTATGATAATAGCATCTTTATTTGTCTCCTTCTCTCAAGTTTCTCTTCACTATGATCCTTCTTCCGTGAAGCTGCCAAGGTGATTTTCCTAAGCCATGTCACCCCAGTGTTCAGTAAACTCCAGTGTCTTCCCTTTTACCGCTAGGATCAAATACAGATTTCTTTCCTTGGAATTTAAAGCCCTTCACAACTTGATTCCAATGAAACATTCCAACCTTATCAAACATTATTCCCCTCTATGTGTTCAGTATACACTGTGCAGACCTACCTTCTGTTGCTCACACATGCCTCCTCACCTCTCATCTCCAGGCCTTTTCTACTAGGCTTCTCCCATTCCTGCGAGGCATTCCCTCTTCTTCTCTGTCTCTTAGAATCCATGTTTCCTTTAAGATTCAGCTCAAATTCCTCTTTTTGCCTGAAGCCTTGTATATATTATATATGGATTTTACACACATACACATAATATATATACATATAGATGTATATATAAGATACAAATATACATACATGTGCCTATCCACAAACACACATATATGTATGTAGATGTGTTTGCATTCCTCATTAGAAAGTAAGCTCATTGAGGAAAGAGACTGGATGGATTGTTTTGTTTTTTGTTTTTGGTCTTTGTGTCCCAACTATGCCTTTGACATAGAAGTCATTTAAGACACTGGATAAATTCTTAAGTAATTGAGATTAATACAGACTAGGAGAGATAGAGAGACAGAGAAAGACCAAGAGAAAGAGACACAGAGAGAGGTAATATCCATGGGAATCAGTAAAGAACTACAGCAATAGATGGCACCTGAGTTGTGCTTTATACTAAATGAGGAATTCTATTAGGAGTATAGAAGAGTATAAGGAATGTATAACAGACATAGGGAGCAATTTTGCCAAGGCACAAAAGGAGGAGATAGAATAACATTTATGAATCATATTTGAAAAAGTTAACAGATTCAGTTTGGCTGTAATATAGATGTCATTAAAGGTATATGGAAAGAATGAGAAAAATGAGACAGTCCTTGCCCTCCAGGAGCTTACAGTTTAACATGGAAAAACATGTATACTTAATTGTACAAAATAGAAAATAAATACAAGTTAATTTCAATGGGGAAGCACTAGCACCTAGAGGGATCAGAAGAGGCCTTAGGTGGAAGGTGGTTCTTGAGCTGAGCATTAAAGGAGCAGAGGGATTCTAAGAGGTAAAAAGAGAAATAAGAGGAATGTAGAAATGAGGAACAGCCTGTGCAAAGACACAGAAATAAGAAATGAGATGTCTTAGGTGAGGGATACCTCACCTTTTAAGGCCAGTTTGGCTGGATGGGAGCATGCATGATGAGGAGAAGTATGTAAGTCTGGAAAGTTCTAGAACATGGGCTTAGCACATAGTACGAGCCTAGAGATCACTGAGTGTGGAGTCAGAGACACTGGGTTCAAATCTCACCTCTGAAACTAGCTACCAGTATGGTGTTTGGCAAGTCAAGAAACATCCCTGGGTCACAGTTTCCTCATCTATAAGATGAGGGAGTTTGACTGGATGGTCTCTGAGGTCCATGTCTACATCTATTATCCTATGAATAATTGATATAAATGAAATTCAAGGTATATTGATTGATCATGTTGAAGTTAAGATGCCAATAGGACCTCCAGGTGAACTTGCTGGTAACACGGGTCTTTAATTCAGGAGGTAGATTAGGGATGCATATATGTACATATAAATATTAATATAGGTATGGCTATGTAGAGGGAAGATGTATCTATTCATATCCATATCTATCTATCCATATATCTGTATCTCTATCTATCTATATATCTGGGAGAAGTCATCTGAACAGAAAGGATAATTATACATATGAGGGCTAAAGAATTCATCAAAGGAAAGAATGCAGGGAGAGAACACAATCGCAGGCCAGAGTGTCATGGGATGCTCACACGTGGCTAGAAGGAAGCTGAGTCATATATCAGACTTCATTTTATAGTTAATTAATCAAAAGTTAGGGCAGAAAGACAGTTTTTAAGCTTTATCATAAAGCAAGGCATAGGGAAAAAACAATTTAGTCAACAGACTTGTCATTTTGGAGAGAAAATGTACCCACAAATTTTATAGAGTTTACAAATTGTTTTATGGATGTTAAATCTGAGGCTGAGAGATTTCATGGAGGCCAACAGTGGATACAATGAGTAAATATCCTGAACCTTCTTCCATCAGCTAAAGTTGACAGGTTGGTTAGGTTGGTCAGGTTGGTCAGGTTGAATGGAATCAAGGTCAAGGTTGAGGAATGGAACTAAGGAAGAGAGATATGACCAGAGAGATGACCAATAAAGTTATGCAGATGGGACAAGCCAAGATATTTCCCAGTAAATGTGCAAATATTATAAGATATGGAAAAGCTATAGTTTAGGTAATTAAAACAGGTCATCATCATCATCACACATATAAACTGAAGTCATTATCTTTTCCTTCAAACCTCTGGTTTTCTAAATTTTCTTGTTTTTGTTGATGATATCACCATCCTCCATTTCACCCAGGATCACAACCTTGGGGCCATCCTCAACTTCTCATTCTTTCTCTTTCCATATGGATTCTGCTACTAATTCTACTTTGTAATGTCTCTACTATATGCCCCCTACTCTCCCCTAACACTCCCACTACCCTGGAGCAGGTCTTCCTAAACTCACACCTGGACTATTGTCATAGTCTTTCAATTGGTCTCCCTGAATTCCTTCTCCAACCAGCTGTCATACTGATCTCTGTAAAGCACAGGTGTGACCAAGTCATGCCACCCTCCATTCCCGATTACCTCCAGGATCAAATATAAAATCCTGTGGTTTTAAAAGCTCTTCATAACCTGGCCCTTTGTGATCTTTCCCAGTTTATTACACTTCACTCCCCTCCCAATACTCAGATATCAGTGACTGTCCTTTTTTCTGTTCCTCATCCAAGATACTGTATTTCCCAACTCTGTGCATTTTCACTGGCTGTGCCTCATGCCTAGAGCTCTTTATCCTCATCTTAGTCTCTGGCTTTCCTGGCTTCCTTTAAATGTCAACTATAGTTCTAATTTCAACAAAAAGTCTTTCCCAATCCTCTTTAATCCTAGCTCCTTCTCTCAGAGACCACCATCAATTTATCTTGTTTGTTCATAGTGGTTTGCATGTTATCTCTCCCACTTAGTGTCTGAGATCCTTGGCAGCAGAGCTATCTTTTTTCTTTCTTTATATGCTCAGTACTCAGCACAGTGCCTGGCACATAGTAGGTGGGTGCATAACAAATGCTTGTTGATTTGACTTTAAAGAGCTCTTTAAGGTAGGGCCAGTACTTAATGTAAGTCATCTCATTTTGGTCTTCACAATGACTTTTGGAGGAAGGGGCTGTTATTATCTCTTATATAGATGAAGTAAAGAAAATGAAGGTAAGAGAAAATAATTTTTTTTAAAGAGGAGAGGGAATAATAATTCACATGTATGTAGTGCTTTAAGGTTTTCAGTTGCCTTTTCTCATAATAATCTTGAAAGGAAGGTAATGCAAGTACTGATAGCTTCATTTTGATGAGGAAATTGGACCTGGAAAGATTGAAATTTGTCAGTGAGGGAGATTCAAGGGGATGTTTGATGCAAGATGTCAAGCTAAGATGCAGGACCATCCTGCCAAATTCAGGATTTCTATTCTCACCATAATTAAATATTTTCCTACAGTGAGGGACCATCTTAAATTTTACCCAATGCAAAACATTCACAGTCATCTCACTGTTAATGGAGATAGTGTAGGGGCAGAGATAATTAGATAAGACCTTAAAGAGATCTCCCAAAAGGTCTGAGCAATCATTTGGGCAATCTCTTCTGCCTCAAATTATCTTAGAGTTCTTTATATTTGCATCTTCTTTGGCCCTTTCATATCATGGTTGTTTCTTACACATTGTATTAGATTATAAGTCCCTTGAGGGCAGAGACAGGATGATTTTTTTCACTTTTGTATCTCCAGTGCCTAGCATACTGCCTTGCTCATTAGATTTGAGAAATGTTCTTTGAACACAGTCAATTAAGTTTGGTGAATCTCAGAGGCAGTGGATATGGCTGAATGCTACCGTGGAATAATTCCAGAAAGCCATTGATTAGACCATTTCATTGGGATTCATTAAAATAAAAATTTCACGTTTATGAATTATGTAATAAGTTGTTCTCTCTCCTTTTAGTAGAATATATCTTGCTGAAACCAATTCTGAAGATAACAAACAGCAACAACAACAATGACAATAGAAAATGATTGGAAAATGCATTGCCTTCTCATCATGGATTCATTCAGGAACAAATTTCAGCTGTGGGAAATAACAGTTTTTTGTAACCTCTAATCACTCTTTTTTTTCTGCTGAAAACATGCTGTCTGTAAATAATTGGAAATACTGTCAAAGGATTTTTTTTGGTAAAAGTTATTCAGTTTTTGTGTCATTTTGTTTGCATTGATATATTTGGAAGAAATAGCTCAGGCTGCTCTCAAGGAATCTCCCTGAGGATCGCAGGGCTTTGCAACCCTTCAGAAGTGGA